GACCATTCCCCCAGCTTCTTAACGAAAGAGTCACGTCTTGAAATTTCAGAGTCGGCTGTACCAGGCTTGCGCCTCCAGCTACAAGCAGCACACGATCCTGATGTTGGTCAGTTTTCTGTCCAGGAGTATAAACTCAGTACGAATGATCATTTTCGTTTGGAAGTTAAAGATCGTGGAAAAGATGGAAAAATACCAATATTAGTTTTACTAAAGACGCTAGACAGGGAAACAAAGAAACGTCACAAGTTGCTTCTTTCAGCTATTGATGGAGGGAAACCAAGTAAATCGGGAACAGCTGGAATTACTGTTGATGTCTTGGACATTAATGACAATATGCCAGTTTTCAACGAAGATGCGTACTCCGTACTTTTGGAAGAAAACGCTCCCATTGGCACGACAATTATAAAAGTAAATGCTTCTGATTTAGATGAGGGTTCCAATGGCGAGGTCATGTATTCATTGGGCAAGAATGTGAATAGCAGAATACGTGAACTTTTCCGTGTAGATCCAAGCACAGGTGAAATTACTGTTCAAGATCTGATAGATTTTGAAGCAGAGGAAAGTTATGAAATTGATATACAGGCATCTGATAAAGGATCAGCTCCTTTAAGAACAGACAAAAGTGTTCTGGTGAATATTGTTGATTTGAATGATAACACCCCTCAGATAGAGGTCACATCGTTTTCAAAGGCAATACCAGAGGATGCAAGACTGGGAACCACTGTGGCCTTAATCAGTGTTCTCGATAAAGATTCTGGTCTTAACGGGAAAGTTATTTGCTCATTTAATGAAGATGTTCCCTTTACTTTATCGCCTTCAACACAAGACAACATGTATGCTATAGTCACAAAATCGCACCTGGATAGAGAAAAGCAGGCCATATATGATGTGAGAATTATTGCAAAAGATGCAGGTGTGCCGTCGTTGTCTTCTGAAAAAAGCATTACTATTGTTGTATCCGATGTGAACGATAACAGTCCAGAGTTCTCAATGAGTCCTTACACATTTTATGTACCTGAGAACAACTCTCCAGGAGCTTCATTATTTTCTGTGAGGGCATCTGACCGCGACGAGGGTGATAACTCTCGTATTTTATATCATATTTTAAGAGATGGAAAAGATAATACTAAAGTCCATTCATTTAATCTTAATATTAACTCTGAAAACGGAGACATTTTGGCGCTGAAAAGTTTTGATTTTGAAACGCTGAAAACGTTCCAGTTCCAAGTGGTTGCCACAGATTCTGGAGCTCCGTCACTCAGCAGCAACGTCACAGTCAACGTGTTCATTCTGGATCAGAACGACAACGCTCCAGTCATCCTGTATCCACTCAGCTCCAACGGCTCTGCTGAAGGTGTGGAGGAGATTCCCCGCAATGTCAACGCAGGACACTTGGTCACCAAAGTCAGAGCCTATGACGCTGATATAGGATATAACGGATGGTTGCTCTTCTCACTGCAGGAACTCACTGACCACAGTCTCTTTGGTCTGGACCGATATACAGGACAGATCAGAACACTTCGCTCGTTCACAGAGACAGACGAGGCTGAGCACAAACTGGTCATACTGGTCAAAGACAATGGAAACGTGTCACTCTCAGCTACAGCTACTGTCATTGTCAAACTTGTGGAGCCCAAAGAGGCTTTTGCAGCTTCTGATGTCAAAAGTGCAGCAAAAGTTGATGATGAGGACAATGTGACTTTTTATCTCATGATAACTTTGGGCTCAGTTTCTGTACTTTTTCTCATCAGCATCATCGTGCTGATTGCAATGCAGTGCTCCAAATCCACAGACTATACTTCTAAATATCTGCAAGAGACTAATTATGATGGGACACTGTGTCACAGCATCCAGTACAGATCTGGAGACAAACGCTACATGTTAGTTGGACCCAGGATGAGCATAGGATCTACTATAGTACCTGGAAGTCACGCAAATACACTAGTGCTCCCTGACAGGAGGAGAACATCTGAAGAGGTGAGTAAATATCTATATTTGCCATATATTCTACATGAAGGATACTTTATTCATGCCTCTCCTCGATCATGGTGGAGCAATTTAATTAAACTGAGCTCACATAATGACATAACTTTTAAATGCATGTTAGTATACGCAGATAGTAAAACCTAGTGTCAGCTTCAAGTGACAAAATGCACTATCACACACGTTCACACGGTGGCGGTACCTTATCAGTATAACGCCTGACAGCGTCTCAGCACATTGTACACGATTCCGCCCTGACTACGTTCAGTCTGGTTAGGCAACATTTTACTGGCAGGATTGCAGTAGGAAGACGGTGTCTCTTTTTGTATCCTGTAAAATACGCTTCAAGAAGGGAATATGTTTCTTGCTGTGCTGGAGACAAAAATCTAGACATGCGGAGAATAATGGACGCGTTTGGATTGCTACTTTTACCTCACCAGATGAAACAAAGGGGACGGGACTCATGGCGACAACGATCAGCAATGCTCGGCGTTTTGGTTCTGCTTTTATTTTTCAGAGCAGCCTCGGCGCAACTGAGGTACTCCATATCAGAGGAGCTGAAAGAAGGCAGCTTTGTTGGGAATATAGCTAAGGATTTAGGAATAGATCTGAATGTGATGAAGCAGAGGGGATTTCGTATCATGTCTGGCTCGACTGAATCGCTTTTCAAGGTAAATGAGAACGACGGGGTCCTTTATGCGAACCAAAAAATAGACAGAGAGCAAGTATGCAAGGAGAGCAATGTGTGTTTAATTAACCTCAAGACTGTCCTCGAAAACCCACTAGAGATACATTATGTCACCGTGGAGATAACGGATTTAAACGACCATTCTCCCACATTTCCTGAGAAAACAAAGAGGCTAGAGATCTCAGAATCCTCCTTGCCAGGCGCAAAATATCAGTTACAAAATGCCCACGATCCGGATGGAGGCACAAACTCTGTCCAACAGTATAAAATCAGTCAGAATGACCATTTTCGATTAGAGATTAAAGACCGAGGAAGAGATGGTAAAACTCCAATTTTACAGTTACAGAAACAGCTGGACAGAGAGGCCAAAAGTCGCCACAAATTGGTGTTGACAGCTATAGATGGCGGAACACCACCAAAGTCAGGCACAGCAGAAATATTCATAGATGTTCTAGATGTAAATGACAACATGCCAGTGTTCACCAAAGACACATACTCAGCCGTGGTCCAAGAAAACGCTCCAGTTGGCACAACAGTCATCCAACTTAACGCAACCGATTTGGATGAAGGATCTAATGGGGAAGTCGTTTATTCATTTGGCAGTGATGTTAAAGATAAAATTCGAGAGCTGTTTGATATCGACTCTGTCACTGGGGAGATCACTGTAAAAGGTCATGTAGACTTTGAGGAACAGGACAGCTATGATATTGATATACAGGCTTCTGATAAGGGAAGCATTCCATTTAGAACTGATAAAAGTGTCATCATTAAAATTGGAGACACAAACGACAATCTTCCTGAGATAGAAGTGGCATCGCTGTCTAGTGCAGTTTCAGAGGACTCGAGGTCAGGAACAACTGTAGCGCTTATCAGCATCACGGATTTAGACTCAGGCATGAATGGCAAAATAATCAGCTATGTCACGGAAGACAGCCCCTTCACATTAACTCCATCTATGCAAGATAACATGTTTGCTGTTGTCACAAAGTCACAGCTGGACAGAGAACAACAGTCAAGATATGATATTACAATAATTGCGAAGGACGCAGGTGAACCTGCTTTAACATCCGAAAAAATAATCAGCGTGTTTGTGTCAGATACGAATGATAACAGTCCAAAGTTTTCACTGAGCCCCTATACGTTCTACATCAACGAAAACAACCCACCAGGAGCCTCTGTGTTTTCAGTACGGGCGTCTGACCGTGACGAAGGCGATAATGCGCTTATCTCATATCATATTCTCAGGAATGCAGGTCATGAAAATAAAGTGAC